TCCCATGCTAGCTTGGCGGAATCCTTCTCTGCCACCATGAGAAGAACGTCCTCCGGTAGCGCTTGATAGATGGCAGCGAGAGCCATTCTATCCTTACGCTCTTCGACCTCGTCTTGCTCCACGGCTTCCCACACTCCTTGAGCTTGTAGGTTCACACGCATCTTCAACGCCCACACCGAGTAGTTACTCTTTGTGAGTAATGGATAAGAAAGCGTTACGTTCCTTACTCTTCCGATCTTCGTTGCTGCCATATCTCCTATGATAGCTCTGCTCGGTGACGACATGTCCTTCGGCTTAGGCTCTCTGATACCAAATGTTGGTTCCAATTTACTGGATCGCTAAAGGACAAATCGAAAAATGAGATTGGACTTTTGGGAATTCTCTTTTTATTATTTTGAAGGAGTGAAAAAATACAAGTCTAGGTGTTTTACAATGCAACGCAACACCTAATTTTATACTAACTAAGACATACCGAAACAAAACAGGAAACTTACATAATAAAGGCAAGAAAATTAAGTATCATCAATTCGCGCCTATTTGAATTGATTACACATATTTGAATTTTGAATTTGAATTTAAGATTCAAATTCAAAATTAATGATATTGCCATATCTCCTATATTTAATTCAAAATTAATGCTATGATCATATCTTCTATATTTGTTTCACTAATTAACTCATGCCTATTATGAAGCCACTAATTATGCAATCAATTCAAATTACCAATTCAAGATTAGTCTCACAGTTATGATGATTGTTATGAGGCAGTTCTGTCGTACTTGAGAGTTTTTTCTGGGATTTAGTGATGGATGGATCATCTCAGTCATTCTTTGTGACTTCATGTATAATATCATCCAGGTTTCAACACATGCCTATTTTTGCTGGAAACTTGCGAAATCATTTGCTCACAACCTTATGAAATCGGAATGATTCATGCAGACTAGCTGATAGTGGATACTTTCTTGAGTTTGAAGAACTTGTTTGACTAGTTTATAACCTATTATCTCATACCTTTATGTCTTGTGATACTATTAGGGGCATGCTTTTTTCCAGTTTTTTTTTATCTTTTATGTTTGTCTTGTCCTAAAGTAGGAGTAAAAGCCATCCTCAATAGGTACCACATTATGTTAATTTTGTATAAGAATTGTTTTGGTTATTTAGCTTCTTTAGCAGTTAAAGAAATGAAATAGATACTTCTTCCAAGATTGAACTACAGTGTTGATTCCAATGAATACTCGCTAATTGATGCAAGTGGGCGTAACTTTTGAATTTTGAGTTTTAAGTCATTCATACTTTGTTTTAAGAAATTTTTTCCTTTTTTATGACTTTTTCACATTTGGATTACAAATGGTTTATTAGGAGGAAATGGAGCTCAAATTTTTATGATGCTATTTTTATGTTTTGATTAGTTTAGTTATTTATTTATGAAGCTTATGCCTCAGTTGCCTTCAGGCTTATGCATTACCTCGCGAAAAGAAAATGGCTCAATATCTAATTATGCAATTTTAAACTTTGGTTTGAGTTCTAGATAACCATTATAAACTCTTAAAGTTTTCTTTTCTGGACAATTCAGATTATTTAAATATTTTCTATAGGAAGAGCAGTAGACTATAAGCCAATTTTAATTTAATTTGACATGATTTGGATTCTATACTTAGAAGAATTACATCAACTCTTTGGTCTCTCTACGGAAATAAGTCATATCTACTTGTGAGTAGCTGCTCCAATATCTGTATAAAGCAAATTGGCTTGACTAGCACTTCCTTGATTTTTATTTTTGTGGCGGTTCGTATATCTGTAGTGAACTGTCTAGAAGTTATTATATCTTTTAATCATTCCTCACTAATGTTATCATGAACGTATTCTGTTTAACTGTCTCAAGGACTTGAGCCATGCTATCTTCTTTTGCTGTCCCTTAACAGATGTCTGAATTTTTCAATCAGAAGTCTTCGATCCAAGGAAAAGTTCCTTTGGGTTACTTTAATGCTCTATTTGATTTAAGTGGAGCATGGTTCGATGATGCCAAGGAAACTAAAAATCTTGCTTTTAATGGCTACTTCATTTCCTTATTCAATTTGCATTTAAGAGCATCTCCATTGGTTCTTTGCAATGAAGTAAGGAGTGCCGTTCCATCCAACTGGGAACCTAAGGCACTATCGAGGTAATTTTTCTTTTATCCTATGAGCTTGTTGTGCATATGGTGCTTCCGATTCTATCATCATATGGATTTTTAACTTGGCCTACTATCAGCTTAGAGTTTGCAAAACAGTTGTTCTAATGTATTTAATAAATTGACCTTTATATATAATGCTATTTAGTTCAGAACTTTACTTTAACCATTTAGCTAAGTTAATGATTTAAACTAATAATATTAATTAAAGGCTTAATGATTTCTATATCATCTTAAATGAGCTCAAACGTCTTAATAAATGAACTGTTATTTTTTAAAAGCAATTTCTATTTTGGATATTTATAATGTTTTGTTGTGGTTTTAACAAGATCAACTAATTCAATTTTTAACGGTATACAATTAATTCCTTAATTTAATCTAATTACAAAATAATTACAAAGTTACTAAATCTATTTATTACGTAAATGTTTTGCCTTAGAATAGGCGATTGGGACAATAATGGTAACTTTTTTGTTTTTTAAAGTCCTGTCTACTTGGTTGATGATTTTGGATTGTGTAAGTACATTGACGAGGATTCAAGCTTTCTTATGTGGGATAGATTGTAAGATGATACGACCCAGAATGAAAAATAGAGAATAACAACGAATAAATGGCAATAGAGATGTGGGGAAACTCAATTGAAGGCTGATTTTACTAATAACAACAAAAGCAAACAAGATACATCGTTGATCTACTGTTCGAGAGGTAGATCATCTCTCCATAAATCCTAGACGCCGCTAGAAACACCAAGAAAAAAGAAAAAAAACTGCAGCAAATTAAAACATAAAACAAACAACTGCCAGTTAGCCCTCAGTAATACTCTCCAAAAGCCATTCAGACTTTCCCTCTCAAAACCCCCCTTAATTCCCCTCCTCTTATACGTGATTAGCGGCTGTGTGGGCCTCACCCGAGTACTGAAATCATCCTCAGCCACTTCTAGAGTTTTTGTCCTTATAGGCTGGGTTGGCTGGCTTGGCCATGCTAATTGATCTAGCTTGATCTGGTAGGTCCAAACCGATCCTCCTTGGACCCGCTGCTCATTTGGGTGGGTTGTTCTCCCTTCGGTTCTTCCATCTGGAGGAACAAGCATATCAATATCTGACAGATAGTGAAGCAAAATTCTTAAATTTTGGGGAGCCTATTGAGAACTTGTTGAATTTTTTGTCTGAAACTTTAGCATTAGAATCTTTTTGTACTTAACGATATGACCTTCAAATCCTAGCTTTGATAAATTTTTTGAGAAGGCCATTCAGATGGGGAAAGTGGTGAATACGAGGGGAGGAAATGGTATGAGAGAATCTTACTCAGTTATTTTGTTCAAAGGTGGAGCTAATTCTAAAACGATATTTATTTATTAAATTCTCATTATATTACAAGCATATTTATGCTTATATGTAGGCAAGTGAAGAACAATACGAAAATTATAATAAATGAGAATATTTTCACAGTGATGGAGTTTTACAAAAATTAAGATCACATATTCCTATTTTAAGTAGTATGTACATGTGATATTTTAAACATGATAACAATTTTGATGAATATGAACACTTGATGTACATTTGCGTTAATACTTTGCCTAACATGTGAAAATTTTGAGCTGTGGGAGATGGCACTCGATGTCGATGGCTAGTGGTAGGAGCGGTGGGCGGTTGATGGCTAGTTGCAATGGCAGGCGGCGGTAGTCATTGGGTAGTGGTAATAGCTGTTGTAGTTTGTAGTATATTTTGAACTTTACCAAATCTTCCTAGTTTAATTTACTAGAAATAAATTAGTTTGAAAATCATTGAATTCTATTTTGTATGCCGGTTTTATAAAACCAATTACTCAAGTTTTTTGGAGCATCTACATTCCAAATGCAGTACTTCGATTCTGCAGCCAACCAAAGAGCCCCTTAATTAGTTGAAAAGTAAATAAATGCCAAGGCTTTGAAACTCAAAAAGTTTTATGTATAAAACTTTCTTGTCTATTTCTGAAACAACAATACAAATATCTAAGGTTAGGACTTACCCTCCAACAAAAAATAGGCGAAGAAGAAAACCAATATCGAGTCCACCCTTATCTTCAACAACTCACTTGATGCTAATGCACCTCAAGTTCGATAAGGTTTTTTTAGCACAATAAGTATAAGCGCTAATTGAGAATTATCATTAAAAATAGAATTGTTGAAGATATGGGGTGGGCTCAACAAGGGTTGATTTTTCTATTTTGTAACCTTATATATTACAAATTTTCGTAGAAATGGATAATACATTTTCATTGGTGAACATTTTTGAGTTTTATGTCATTATTTTCTTCTGCTGATTAATTTAGATAGACTTTCAATTACTATAAAGCTTTATCAATATAGTATTTCATTAAATTAAGAGTTAATGATTTCATGCCACTGTATTTTTAATTGAACAAATTTGGGCAAAAACTTAAACATTAATTCAGTACTTTATATTTTGATATTTATTTTCTTGAGAAGTAATAAATAATGCATAAATTATTTAACATACTTAATTATATAGTTTATATCAATAATTGGAAAAGAGTTGGTAAATGTTTGTCATATAATTTGCATGAAATTATATGATTTTTAATTTTGTAAATGAAAAATTGAAATATAATATTTAAAAGTTAAATATAGTGGTATTCATAAAGAATTAATTAGAATTTTAGTTTTATAAATTAAGAAATTATTGAAAAGGTTGTGTTTTTAATGCATTTTTATTTCATATTTGATAACTATAATTAAAATATGCACTAAAAGGATAATAATTAATATCCACTATAGTTTTTGGTAAATAGGTTCTATTTAAGATAAGATTTAAAAGTTATAACAACAACAACAAGTCTTTGTCCCACTAAGTGGGTTCCGCTACTTGAATCCTTTTTCTCCATTCTATTCTATTGATTGGCATATTTTTATTTAATTCTAATAAATTAAGATAACTTTTTATACAATATGCCTAAGTTTTTTTAGGTCTACCTCTATCTTTCTTAACATAGGTCAAATTTAAAACTTCTACTCTTCTAACAGGGTCATCAGATGATCAATATTTAACGTGACCAAAACATCTAAGACGACTCTCTCTAAAATTTTATGTTACTAGAGCTACTCCAACCCTTTCACAGATATATTCATTTTGCATTTTATCTCTTAGGGTCTGTTTGGCTCAGCTGCAGATTCTCAGCTTTTCAGCTGCAGCTGCGCTACCCCAGGAAGCAGCTGTTGGGAAGCAGCTGTGGGGAAGTTGACTGTCTGTTTGGTGCAGCTGCGTGAAAAATGCTGTGAGCCAGCTGTTTTATGTAAAAATGATCAAACTGCCCATATTTGTTAAAACTGTTTAAAATTTTTTATTTATTTGTATAAATATGGGTTTAATATACATAAAATTTATAAAAATATTATTTATTAATTAATTAAATGAAATAAATTGTTTTCAATATTCATTTTTATAGATAATTTTTAAAAAATAATTTGTAATTTTAAACACATATATGTTTGAAATTTATCGTTATCTATATATCAATGTATACAAATATTAATTCATCTATACATATAAAAATTTACAATCATATTTTAGAAGCATAAAATGTAAAATATATAAAAACACCTCAAGCCATATGAAGTCGTGTTTTCTTACATAAAGACGTAGGAACTCATACAGTTTCGTACATCCAAAATAGCCCAGAGTACATAAATGCAACTCAACCACTAGCTAGGAGAAGCAGAATGAAAAAAACTGTAAAACTACGACCACGACGA